GCTATATGTAACTAGAGTTAATAAAGTGTTGTTCTGTTCTGTTATGTTCTGCTAAAATATATACGGTTTTAATATAATAAAATGCATTACAAATTACTATATAATCTACAGGTGTTTATATACTGAAATGTGACGCAACAGTTTATCGATTACTAATTTTTGATATGAAAAATCGCTAAAAACAATAACAATAAAATAACAACAGAATCAAAAACAACAAAAACAAAATAAGGAAAATAAGATATATAAAATATGCAATATGCAATATGTCTAAACAAGTCAGAAAAATGTATGATATAAAGTAACATTTTAAACTAAGTGCATTCTTTATTTCTATGCACTAAACATACGTTTAATACCCATATTTGTATCATTTATAATATTTAAATTTAAATAATTGCAAATGTACGAGAACGAAAGAACATGACCGAGTTAGTACTTAAACATTGCATATTTAACATAGTTTTCATAACATGCAGGTCATTCGTTTGAAAGTTGTAATACCGGAATTGATTAATACTGAAACGTAAACTGCATCATATACGATAGAAGTTTCATTCTAAAAGTTATTCTTCACTGCTAACACACTATCTTTATTGCATTGAATTAACTAGTATAAACAAGATAGATACATTTTGATTAACAACATCAACATTGTGTATTCTAGCGTCTTGAGTTAATTAGTTTTGGTGTGAAAGCTAATTGAAATTAATCGAATCCGAATGAATAAATGAGAAGATTCTCATTTTGATCATTCCAATGGCAAGACTTTGGTATTCTTAGTGAAACAAACTTACAACAAAAAACGAACACAGAATAACCAAGGAGTGGAAGTAAATTTTGATTCGACTACAGTTATACTGATTGATTAGATTTTCTGTCATTTTCATTGGAAGCGCATGATTCATAAATGCCTCGAAAAAAGATTGGAGTTATTAAATAGTTAGCACTCAATGCTCATTTGTATAAAGTACAGCGAATGTACTGTCAGACAAGACCTTACAAAGTGTGATGTCAGATAAAAACTTGCAAGATTGTCCGGTCAGATCATCATATTGTTCCTGTGTGTCTTGATACTAAATTTCACACCTTTGATCCATGGAAATCTGTTAAATTTGAATACGTTTAACACAAAGCATTCATTTCATATGACGTCTATCATCGTAATTATTTGTACAAAATTCACGGAGTATCACGGTTTATTGTTACGTTCTGTACACAACAAATGCATGTTTCAAAATTAAGCTTGTGTAAAAAGTTAATTTAAAAGTCCAAGGCAACGTCTGACAATAGCTAGCGCTCGAACGTAAAATACTAGACAATAATCATCTTTATTCAAACGACAAAGACCTACAGTGATACGGACTTGACAAAAAGTATCATAGTACTGATATATTCAGCATAAATTTAACAGGATTTAAAAATGAAACGAAAAATACAACAAAAAGAAACATAATGGTTGTAGTAATTCGGATCACTTTCAGAAGAGTTCAATATCAATCTTTAAGAGTTGTATAAATATCATCAATCTTCTTTACAACCGTCGCAAACAAGAAAATCGTGACTGCAAAAAATGTCAATTTTTACAATCTATCATCTTATCGCATCTTTATGATACTAAATATGTAAATACATGTATATACGAGCACTGGAAATTGAGTTATTCATTATAACAAATAATAGGATCCGGCGAAGTATGATTGCTGTATGTCAGTTTGATTGATACAATCGCAATTCAACGATCTTATTCTTATCACTGGTATAGAGTTACTGTGAACTTTAGTTCACTGTGATTGAACGCTACTATGTCAAATTTGATACCCATATATTGCCTATATCTGACTTGAAATGTCTTTATCATTTTGTTTAATATAAGAGGCAATATTTTAAATACATTTAATTGAACCATTATTACAATATGATGCTTCAGATTTTTATTTGAACACCCTTCTGATGTTCTTTCATGTATATAAATTAAATATAAAATCACGTTCCTTTTAATGATCTATACATCTTTACATACTATACAGAATTTAAAATTACACTATTTGACGACGAACAACTTTTGTTCGAATTCATTGCATTATTAAAGACTAATGATATAATTTAAGCACAAGACTGTCCAAAGAAAAAACAGGTTGATAAGAATAGTCCTCAACAGACGGTAGGATTTTGAATAAAACTAAGATGTACAAGCAAATTTTAATGTGTGAAGGCTACTATTTCTTGATTTCGTAAACCTTAATACTAGATGTAAGGGATAGGACATGTTCTGTTTTGAAAATCTTGTCGTACAGACCTCCCACAATGGCAAGTAATAGATTGCCAAATTATCTCCTAATAATGGGTGTGATGAAATAAAATTCAAGAACAATTAGGGCTAAAAGGTAAACATAGTAAGATGGGGTAAAATGATGTTGAAAAACTCTTGAAGAGACCCAAAATTGTGGTATGTTTGAATCCCAAATCATTCCGAATATGATTATGTCACATATTTAGCTCTTCTCTAATCAAGGGAGACAGTTTGTAGGCGGCCGGATTGCTCAGTCAGTAGAGCCGCAGTACGGTATTCCGAGGGTCCCAGGTTTGAGTCTCGGTTATGCTGCACATTAAAAAAATATTTTTTTTAATGGAGGTGTTTTAATCATTACTCGTAGAGAAAAAAATTATTTAGTGAGTAATGTATGTAATGGATCAATTGGGAGGGAACTGTTTTTAGGGAAACCTCAGATGATTCCTACAATGCAGAATTACGGTCTGAATGCAAGTGTTGTATTGCTTTGAACATTGTACATCTTATCTCTAATTAGTATTGTACAACTAAATCCTACCGTCTGTTGAGGCCTTATAATGGAGTTTCTATTTTTTAAACAAAAATTCAACACCAATAACAACAACAAAATAACAGCAACAATAGAAACCATAAAATCCCACTCCCAAAATGCATAACAAAAACAGAACAACAAAAAAAACAACAACAAAACAAAAAATCATATTTAGATTGTTTCCGATGATACTGTAGATAATAATTTAATTTAATAAGTATAGCATTTCAAAAAGACATTTACATTCTGTCATACATTAAATGGTCGTCTTTATAGAACCTAAAGATGATATCAAACCATTATATGAATCAGTTGTCTATAGATATTAAATTAAATTAAACAAATTTGAAATACCTTTAGATTGCATTTTCCTGAGATTTTTCCGCTCAAACTCATTATCTAAAATAGCCATGAAATGTAACATATTAACATTTACTTGCTAAGGGAATAATATAATTTGTGCGACATTCGTTATACATTTATCCAATAATTGACGTGGAAAGCAACACCTGTTACAAAACATCTGTTTTAAATTATTTACAGTTTATTATTTTATCATTTGCATTTGGATTGTAGATTTTGAAAGGTGTTTTTATTTCACGCAGTAAGTACTGTTTTTAACAAAATAAGTTGTACAGAAAACACAGTTTAGTTATTTTATGAAAATTTAGAGCACAAACATTACTTTATTGGTATGAATTAAGCAGCAACATATTCTGTTCTCTTGAAATGTTGCATAGCTTTTGTTATTGAATTGTGTAAGATGCTTGCCCTTAAAACTTCTTCAGGAACTAGATATACTAAGTGCAGTTTTTGTGATCCGAAAAGGAAATCAGTTTTATTTGTTGTTTAAAGTGATTTGGTCTATAATGGAAGGTCTGTTATCAATAGATAATTACATTGATTATATTTATTATCAGACATAACAGCAAAAAACACGAACAATTTATATATGGATATTGTTCGGAATTGTGATACACAAGCTCCGATATTTCATCTATTTATAAAGCACATAAAGTGTTCAAGAACAACACATTTTTATTCATCATATTTATATAAATGTTTACTAAATCACCCATAAATCACTTTTGATAAAATAATTATGTTATTAAAAATTATAAGCATATCCAACTGATACATTTTTTTTTCAACCAATATTTGAAATTCTTATAGATAATGTGCGCATTATAGACCAATCCACTTTAAAAAAGAAATTTCGTTCACTTCAGACAACGTGTTTACAAAAAGTCAACAAAGAAGCCATAAGCAAAAGCTCATTACGTTAAAGTACATATCTGCAAACGGTGAGACCACTAATATACACATACAAGTTCTAATTAAATGTATTTTCATCTTGTTTGCAGCACTGTCGTAAAATAGTAATCAGCTTTTATTTCCTACGTTTTTACTCTTTTTTACTATCATTAGGTAACCGAGATGTTTAATATGAATAATTACCCAATGTATGGGCCACAAACAACAAAAATACAGACTATTATATGACTGTTCACAAATCAAATAGAGCTTTAGATTCTGTGGTTTCTAAGTGTATCGAAGATTTACATGGATCGGCATTTTGTTCTTCAAATTTTCTCAACTCCGTGCCCATCAATATATTATTGAATTCCTCAAACTTTCTCCTTCGATTTTAATTAAACTAATTAGGATTTATTTATTTATTTTATTTACTCTAGGGGTTTCCTTGATTTCATTGATTGCTATTAATATTATTGATTGGTACATTTCTTCTGTGCCTCTTCCTTCCCTTTTGTCATTAGACTACCATGTCCCTGTGTGATTGGTTTTGTCGAGGGCTACGTGCTATGCACTTGTCAATGCTTTATCGTTCTTTTGTCACATTTGTTTTGGTGATTTTAACCAATATAATAAAATGTGAACATTTATTCTGTTATTAACATATGTTCTGAATACTTTGTTGAATCTTTTTGTTCATTCTATGTACACCAATGAATTGACCATCTCCAAACAATCCTAAATTGATATTGTTTCTGAAAAATGATATTTTTATTAACCTTTACCAGTCTTATATACTGTAAAAGTTGCTAAAACAATTAATCTACAAAGAATGATTCTTTTAAAACAGATTTATGATAGATTCATTCTTCCTTCGAGACTTTCGAAATTTGTTTTATTGATTATATATTGTAGAAGAAGACCAGATATATGTCTGCAAGATTTGTGTCAGTAAGCCACGTTCATACAACAGTCTAAATAATTGCAAGAGACACGTGCAGACATTTCACTCAGGGTTCTTTTATTAGTGTATTGGATGCGGGAAGGAATATACCAGAAAACCAAAAGCAAAACACAACTTTGCAAGTACAAGTAAATTTGTCCTTGTTCACAAAGAGACTAGTCTAATTGACACCACAGCCGTTCAGAAAAGAAAACTACTGGATATTGAAATTATACATAATATTAAAGAAGAGTTGAAATTCCCTACAAGTAATCATGAAAAGAACTTATCATCCTTATAAATTGAAGAAAAGAATCAATCCAAAAGAAAACCAAAATCATATGGAATCAGCTCATGATTCTGACTCATACTCTGTTCCTCGTTCACCAGAAATAATTAGAGGCCGGCCACTTGCATTAGACAAGAATGTAGTTGAACCCGGGTCGTTTAGCGACTTTCTCACCTCGTCATCCGAGCCGACCCACAATGCTATAACTGAAATTTCTTCTCGACAAAATGAAGAGCAATTAGCAGATACTGATTCCGGTTCAAAACGAAAAGATGTTTTTGAGAAAGTGGTCAAAGAGGCAAGAGAAATTATTCACCATAAGATGTTACAAATCCAGCATTGGCGGGGCGATGAAATTACTCTATGGGTAGGAGGAAAGAGCTTTGTCACAACGAAATCAACATTGATGAAAGAACCAAGTTTTCTTTACAAACTGAATGTAACCGCTGATTCAGTGATAACGATAGACAGAGACCCGTCCCACTTCAAATTTATTCTGAATTATTTAAGGTATGATTGCACAATGCCGATAGGTTGTCTTCCGAATGATCTACAGGTTATGAATGAATTGAAACAAGAGGCTTCTTATTTTTGTCTACCAAAACTAGAATTTATCATTCAAAAAAAGATCGTTATTTTGCAAGAACTCTTGGGATTGTTATAATTTCAAATCGATAATGATATCAATCGGATTAAATCAGACTAAGAATTTAATTAAACACATCAAGGACTTTTATATTATCAAATAATAGGTATATTCACGGGGTTATAAGTGTTCCACTCATGACAATGTATTTTAAAAAACAGAGTTATTCTGACATGTCATGTATTCTTGTGACGACGGTTACAGCTGGAAACGTCATGGACTTTGTCGTCTGGCTAGTAAAAACATGAAGAAATAAATAGTTGACAAAATGGCAATAATCTGTCTTTGATATAAATGAACATCGAAGTACAATAACAAAGATATAACATAATGATTGCCACTAACTTTGATCTATTCGTGGAAAACAAATCTGCTAAAGTAACTACAGCCAAAATGTTTGGAGTAATAAATAGCTAAGGAGGATGTTGCTCTTTTTAGTAACTGACAATAAGAATTTATTAAAGTGAAAACACATCAGCAGTAACAAACATTTTATGCATAACTCTGAACTTTATTTAAATTTTCTGGTAATACAGTCATTGTAAATAAGGGATTAAAATTTATAACAAACCACTGTGCATAGTGCGGAAGAGGAACAGGAATGCACATAAATGAGTTAAGGTTATATTTTATTCAGAACAACTACATTTCAAAAACGTGTCGCTGATAATATGAGGGTTACTCTATAGGTAGGAGGGAACAGCTTTGCACATATGGAAAAAGTAACGGTATTCTTTATATTTTGGGGCGGAATTTACGCTCAAATATGAAACTTCCATGTTTTAAGTGCATACAATAATGATCAACGACTGATGCTTTTTTTTGCTAGTTTGGTTTTGCAGTTTCTGAATGGAATATCTTGATCTGCTTTATTACATTAACTTGTACAGGGTTGATTTGGCAAGCTCAGTGTCAAGACTACATGTAACAACATCCTTAAAACAAAATATATTTAAATACATATGTTTACTATTTATACAATAATTTTACTGTTTTGATGATTAGGGATGTACTGTCAGTTGCAAAGTCAACAATTATTCACAACTACACATCATTTTCATCCAACTTGCAATAAAGATATAAAAATATAAATCCTCATTATACGCAATCCATGAAATTATTTTGTTTTGTTTTTCGTTTTACTTTTAAGACACGGTGTACGGTAACCTTGTGTTTCATCAATATTATATAGATAAAACCGATATTTTCATGATGTTATATACAGCTATACAAAAACTGAATAAAGTTATGGGCAGATGTTTATATATGTATTACCTAATTAAACCTGCCTCAATCAATGTTTCAAATGTGTTTGTCAAACGGATTGCCATTTGTTATTTTTCCGTATTTTATGGGTTTATTTATTGAAAAATATATAACTTTTATACATACGATTTTAGTGATTTTTTTCTTTCATTTATTGTTTTACAATCTATATGAAAAATATGGGTGAATTCTTGATAAAAATAAAAAAAAAATAAAAAATCATTTAGACATTGTGTTGAAATTGATATCAGTTGGTCGTTTTCCCAGTAACGTAACGACTTTATCTTGTCATTTAAGTCTAGAATTGGGTTTGTTTGATGCAGTATATTCTAAAATTTAGTCTCTTTATTCCCACAGGAACAAAAAATTAAAAATATGTTGGGCTATAATGAAATAGCAATAGTCCATTTGATCACTAAAGAAATGAGAATAACTCGGCTATTTTAAAGTTTGGAAAAATTCACAATATATGCCTCCATGAATGCAAAATGAATCATTGAATAAAAGTAAGTCATCAAAAAGTCGCATAAATACACTCTTTTCTCTTAAAAACTAAGATTCCATTCTCGTATTTAAAGGTGAAAATTATGGAAAAATGTGTTCTTTTGTTTGAAAAAAGGTAGTTAGGCATTTTCTTAGATCACAAAATTAAGAAAAAACGTAACATCAATCTGAAGAAGTACAGCAAACTAAACGAAAATGTCCTTATTTACGGATATTTCTAGTCAACGGATGTTGCTTTGATACCAGTAATATTTCCAGCAAAAAAAGAAGAAAAAAAGGTTGACGCACCTCCGGATAGCAGCAGCAATATTTGTGAAATAAATAAAGACATTGTAGGTGTGCATTTAGAGCAACATTATGTTGTAGTAGCTTTTAGAGAAAATGTATTTTGCTATGAGCAGCTTGTGAAAATTGACATTTCGCGACACCGAAAAACAAGTCATCATAAAAAGTATTTCTGCAAATGTATAAATGCATATGTAAAAAAGGTTTGAACAGGAGAAACATAGAAAAGAGTTGTAAATGCGTTAAAGCAGTGTTAACCGTAAGATAAATGTTTCTTTCCATTTAAAATAACATCGAAGATAACACAGAAGAAAACATTAGATAGACTGACACAAAACGAGAAAACGCTTTTATCTACAAGACAAAAGGCAATATCAATAAATTTTCTTGCGCTTTATGACATAAATATTTTCCATTAATGACAAACTTTGAGTGATTCGAACTTCTCCTACCAGACAGGTTCTGATCGTAATAAATAGCATTTATCATTTGGTTTATACAGAATTTATTTTAGTTCGATTGTGTAGGAAGCTATAAGCTTATAGACACACTCTCGAATCCGTTCCTGCAACCAATCAGTACTGAGCAATGAGTGTAAAGTTTCTTGCTCAAGGAAACAACGACTTACCCCTGACGGGGTTTGAACCCATGCGTCTAGCGATCATTAGATTACTAGTCCGACGCGTTAACCACTCGGCCATGTCGCCGTTTATCATTTCTTTAACCAAATCCTCATTCGCTTTATATAAAGGAAATTCTCTTATTTTAAATTTTATTTTTTTCTGAGTTTAAAATATTTAAACATAAAATTATCAAATCAAGTTCAATACAAACAGTATAATGTTTAGTAGGACATATACGGTAGGACATCAGAGTTTGACCGCATTATACCGAAGAATATATAAAGCGGATTAAGATTAATGCATAATAAGAATAGCTGCAAAAGAAACGGGAAGACAGCCAAACTCTGACATCCTCTTTCTCCTGGGTAAATACCATACTGACACCTGTTTATCCATTAGAAAATATAATTAAATCTAAAGCATAAATTCGCAGTAAATGATATTTCAAATACAGAAAAGTTTATCATAAGTTTATCAACCCAACGTCACAAGAATGTATGTATTAAAATAGAGAAAAGAACGTCCAAAACGACAAAATTGAAATGTTCGCGGGCTCGGTTTTACTGACAGTACTGAAAAGTGCAAGTTACCGTCCACGCCACCTAGGACCGGCTAGAGTTTTATAGGAAACAAATAAATATAAACACCTGGAAATAAGTTAAGCCCACCCCGGAAATTTAAAATTAATTGTTATATAAAGCACTGTCATGAGATGACGACTTAATTGAGCTAAGAAATAGTAATTTGATAAGTAGCGATAGCAATTCGTAATCATAAACCAGTATATTTATGAGTTTAGTTTATTCTAAACCAACTTATTGAAGCATAAGCAAATGTGTTTTTTCCCCCAAAAATGTAAGTGGGTGGTTATAAGTATAGTGTTTACGTAACTTCAATCTGAAGAGGTACAGCAAACTAAACGAAAATGTCCGTATTTACGGATATTACTAGTCAACGGTAGATATTTTTGGTAAATGTTGACGATTACGTAACCTAAAATGACATTATGTAGCCAAATCTTTAATAAGGTGTGTAACCGCCACGTGCCTGGGTGACAGCCTCAACCCTTCTCCTCATTCTACCAGTAATGCGATTTTGAGGTACATTTTGCCATTCTTGATGCAGAGCTTGCTGCAGGTTGACTACAGGTGGTTCGTACCATTGCCCAAATAAATTTTAAAGTTTCAGTTGTGTTCATGTCAAAATTGAGGCGAAATGCCAGTCGTGCTTAACTTATTTCCAGGAGTATAATAATCAGTTCAATAAAAACAAACACGTTTTCTTAGCTTTCGACATTTTGTCTTCTCCAGAAAAAAATGACGTTTATAAAAAAATGATAGGAAACATATTAACATTAATATCATTATTTACCTATCAACTTGAATGACTTCTACCTGAAAAAAAATACAAATGACTTATTTCAGGCACCAGACCATCTTCAAGGAAAGCCATCTAGATAAGTCCTACAAAGTATTTCTACAAATTACCCTCCGTGGTCGAGGGGTTAGAGTCGATGACTTTTAATCCAGTTACCTCTCTGGCGTGGGTTCGATCCCCGGGAGATGCTTTGGTAGTTTAGCGCGGAGGAAGGTAGTCTAGTACTGGTGTAACTCTCCAGGAACGATGGTAAGGAAACTACCCGCCTATATGACTGAAATACTGTTGGGAAAAGGCGTAAAATGAAACAAACAAACAAACAAAACCTTCTTCAGTTATATGATCAATAATTTGTTGATAATAATCATACTGTGATAAAAATACCCTATCAAATTCATTGCTGTTAAACAACCGACGTAATTTAACAAAATCACTTTGATAAATGTAATGTTTTGTTTTCTCATTTAGATTGGTTGTGATGATCGATGCTTTGATACCGACAAAGTCCTTAAAAGGAAAATAATTTGTTTCTTTGACTTCATTTCCAAAAGGAAACAATAAAACATGTTTACATTCTGACTTACATTTAATAGTTTCGAGCGAACATCTAGATGATATCAGACCATTTTACGAATCATTTGTCAATGCACATTAAATTAAATTAAATAGAGTTGAAGACATTCGATTGTATTTTTATGAGATATTTCAATTTGTTTTATTCAATGAAAAATCAGCAGAACTACGATAGTAGGTCATTTCCTAGAAATAGGCCATTGTAGTTACATTTTGCTGTTTTGTTATTTTAAAAGGGAAACACAGGCAAAATTTCCATTTCTTCGTTTCGATTTTTTTTTCATATGTCCTCAAAATAAATACACTAGGCAGCCACAGGAATAAAACTTTTCTCTTTACAAAGAATAAAATGTAGGTCTCCTAACTTGACCTAAGTGGGTCAGGTTAGAGCATTAAAGTTTCACAAAAGTTGTCACAGTGAAACATTTAAGAACATGTCAAATGAATGACTGAGACTTGCTTCAATCATACAATATCCACATTATCTGTTATTGTTACTTCCAGGGTTGGTTTCAGTCATATTGCTTGTTTTAAAACCACTTGGTGACTCGGTTGGCGTGTTAATTTCGTTACACATATATAGATATATTTAAGCTTCAAACCCAAAATATATAGAATCTATAAAGAAATTCATGCTGGGACTTAAAATAATGTCATTTTAGAGTGATTTGAGTACATAAGATCTTTTTTAAAAATATTTTTATCATTAATTTGCCTGAGTATCCCTTTATTATGTTTACTAGTAATTCATTCTATGATAAAGGCAGATGGGCTGCCATGAAAACATGACTGATTAGTCAAACAGGTTGATTTAATGAGCAACAGAAATATATATAGAGGTAATCATACCGAAAAGTATACGGCGATAACTAAAGAAAAAAATATATGCGGAGGTAATGCACAGAAAAAAACTCCCTGGATATTCGGAAAACAAAGAAAAATCAACTCTGATTCATATCACTTTATTAACAC